GCACATGCACATTGTGGTACATGCTGTAACACGTAATTGCAACATTAATAATTCTCGTAAACAGACACTAGCCAGCAAATATTTGTTTCCTGCTTTAGAAGATTCACGGTCCTAATGAATACTATTTTCTTTAAATTTCTAAACTCCCCAAAGATATGATACACAATAAAATCTCATTTTATCGTGCACGTAAGAATAAACATGTGTTTGGGTGATTAACTGAAATATAAAATAATAACTCGTGCTTACAATCGATATACCCACAATTTGAAAGGAGATCGATGTCTCAGTTGTTAATAAATAAAGAAAGACTTTATCATGTATGTGTAATATCTAATCGTACACTTGTATTGACACATTGCTGTATCGGATTGAAGTGATGTACACAATAATAGCGGACTAGAGTGTAACCCCTGATGACACGCCGCGATAATAGATTGCTTTTAGCAGGATTGTCACAATAATATAAGTTTATCTCACAGAGTCAATCTAAGGCTTCGTGCCAATTAACGAGTATATGGATTCAGTAGACGCCTTGACATGATCTCACCAAACACCAAGAGTGTACTTTCCATTATACGTGCATTTTGTGTTGGGTTTCTCTCTGTTTATACATATTCTATAATATACAACTTTATATATACATTACCGTCACAATGTCCTTCTATTGAAATTCTGTTTTATATTTATTAACATCAAACTAAGCAGAAGACAAATATGTTCTACTAAGATGATTTGTAACGTTGATTATCATACACCTCTTATTCCCCAATCTAGAAACGCGGTTATAAACGCGGTTAGAATGGGAAGGAGACTAGATGTTGTGTGAACGTTTAAATAAATACACAAATAAGATTAATAACTGAAATAAATGTAAAACCAGTAACTCAAAACAATTGCATTTTTCATTGGATAATATAAGGTATATGATAACAACTTTATGGAGCGGACCTGGCTTTTATGTCCCTCGTCGTACAGATATGCCACCCTTAGAAACGTATCCAATCCGTCAAGATTATTAACTGAACATCTAACTCAGCGAGGGGCATCAATA